TTTTTTATTTGTGAAAACAGAAAATAAAGCATCTACAATCAGAATACAAATAATCTACAATTTATCTACAAAATATCTACAAACTGGGTACATATTTGAACTTGAAATGCTTCCCCTGAAATGCATGTTTCACATTTTTGATACATATTTTTGTCCAAAACAATACTAAATCATCCACTTAAATACAATTTTTATACAATGTTGTTCAACTTTCATACAATAGGTAAATTAATAAAAGAAAAATAAATAAACAAATGTCTACAATTTATCTACAATTTCTGCAATATACATCTTCTTCTTCGAGTTTCAATCTGAAATTCAGTCAAAACCAAGTCTAATCTTCACCAAAACCCCTCAAAATTGAGATATAAACTCCAAACCATATTCCCAATTATTTTCAACAATACCAAATCCAAACAAATAATGATTTTTGAAAACCCAAATTTGAATCAAAGCTTCAAAGCTTTTTAATGGTTGTCAATGGTGGAATTACTGCTCTCTTTTCATTTGCTTTGTATTTTCGCCATAATTGCTTTTGTTGCAGAAGAATTGTAGAAGATTTTTTTGATTTTGATTTGTGAAATCAGAGAAAATGTTGAAACATAGTTTATCGCAAAAAATAGAGTACGAAAATTTTGTAAGGAAGTCGACGATAGTGATTACTGTGCGTGATCTGCGTTGGAAGATCTAGAAAATATTTAATTCCCCTTTTTTAGCGCGCCTAAATAAGGAATCCTATAGCTATAATGATTCTTTATTTAATGCATTGTATATATTATGTAGAAATACTATTAGCATGAAGGGTAATATACAAACTATGACCATATTTGGTAATATAGTTTCTTATATGGTATAAGAATGAAAATTTCCCTAGTAGGAATTGGTAATTTTTTTAGCCTTATATTAGGTTTGGCAATGATAGCCCTAAACAATTGGCATTATATAGCCAAGTCTTAAAAAAACTACCCTCTTTTATATTCTCTCTTAAAAAAAACTACACGCTTATTTTGGCTTCCCTCCCCCTTTCTCTCCTTGTATTTCTTCTTCTAACTCTTTTCTTTTGCTCTCATAATTTAGCAAAAAATTCTTGCAAATTATGCAAAAAAAAATCAATTGGATGAAAAGGTAAGGTTGATCTCACATCAGAGAAAATCAAAAGCAAAAACTAAGAGAGAAAAACTATATTTCAACTTTGTTTTTCTTTTCTCTTCTTTTATTTTTGTTGGATTGAATGAGTGAGTGTGATTGAAATTGGTGAAAAATATCTAAACGAGGCTATATACAAAATTTGAGCAAGATTCGCGAAAACTAAGAGAGAAAAAATATATTTCAACTTTGTTTTTCTTCTCTCTTCCTTTTTTTAGTTGGATTGAATGAGTGAGTGTGATTGAAATTGGTTGAAAATATATAAACGAGGCTATATACAAAATTTGAGCAAGATTAGAAGTGATTTAGACTGGTTTCGGGTAAAAATCAAACCTAAAAATCCAATTGCGACATGTGTATTTCACATTGTATATCGTGTACATTAGTGTATATCACACACAAGTTTTTAAGGATGTCTGTGTATATCACTTTGTATATCATGTATACAACATAAATTTTTTATGGACGCCCGTGTATATCACATTGTATATCGTATATATAACACAACTTTCATGGATATACACAGATATAATATACATGAGATATCACTGATGTACATAAAGATATACACGGGTTACAATAGGGGATCCCCATGTAGAGTCGTCTTGAACTTGAGTTTGCAATCTGAAATGTGTTATACAAAGAAGGAAAATAAACTTTTAATAAATTTTTTTGATATACACATTATTATTATGTTATATACTGTGATATATAAATAATATAATTATTATTATTGATCAAAAAAGGAAAATAAATTTTTGATATAGCATGTTTAAGCAAGTTCTAAAATATAAAAATAATAAATATAATTGTGGAGTAAATAATATTTTTGTATATAAAGAAAATTAATTTTTGATATACACAAAGAAGAAAAATAAACTTATGATATCTATTTTGGTATACACATGTCCAATGTGCTATACAAATAACACAATATTTTTATTGTGATATACATTGATATAAAGGCAATAATAACTATATATATAATTTTATATATATGATATACAAAGAATAATATTATTTATATTCAAATAATGAAAATAAAATTTTAATATATATGTTGATATAGAAAAAGAAGAAGAAAAAAGTTGTAATATACATATATTATTGTAATATACATTTATTGGCTATTTGATGCCAATATTTATAACTAGAACTATTTTCTGTCAATTATATAGATATATTGTTATACCATGCCAAAACCCCATGACTAATCCCTACGTCCTGTAATGGTGTAAGATTTCCGGAGTCAAATGAATATTCTTTCGTTGCAATTTTTTCGTACATATTTTATTTATTTTGAATTATTAATTATTACTCCTTAATTATAGTACTTTTTACTAATTTTAAATATATAAATTTTATTTTGAAAATTTTAAAAAAATTGTATTCAAATACACAGTCAAAATTAAGAAGGTTGAATATTTTATTTTTTTTCCTGAATGTATATATAAAAAATTCAATTACAACTACAGCTATAACCCTAAATGAGACGTACAGTTGGTCGTTTTGAACTGGTAAAGAATTGTCCCTCTGCTTTCCGTCTCATATTATTCTCTTAAGGTGTCAATACGAAACCCTAAAACTTCTACATAATTGTATAATTTCATTTCCGAGTTTTGAACTTTCTTTAAATAATTGGAAAACTGATATATATATTTTCTCATCTTATTTAGTGTCTGGGTATAGCTTTGTAGCTGCATTTAATGTAGCAATTTAAGGGTCTAAAATTGTTGTTTGAGATTTCCTGAAGCGATTTTAGTGTTGTGAATGCAGATAATTTTGTTAGAGGAAATTATAATGGAAACCGATTCAGAAGTAAAAGAAAGCTCCTTAATTTTGATTAAGCAAGGTGCCGAGGCTGTAAGTTACCAGCTTCTGTTCTATTTGTTTTTTTTTATGAGCTATATTATCATTTAATTGCTGAAATAATGGTTATTAGATTTTGAGTAGTATCAACAGTAGAATATTCTTTTTTTATTAATGAGAAATCCCCCAAGACAATGGTGCACGGTTCAAAACTTAGTGGATAAAAGTACCTGCCCCTTTACCTCCTCCACTTAAATACCAAGCTTTTGTCTGCGACAAGAATTTGAACCGTTGAAGTGAAGTGTGCCTAACCTACACATCACGGACTGTGCTCTTACCACTTAACAATTGTCCTAAGGCACATCAATAGTAGAATATAGTAGTCTGAAGGCACTGATTTGAGCTGTTTATTTTTGTTGTTTACTATGTGAATCTTCTAACAATACCTTATGCATCTTTTCTGCTTTTCGCTCTTTTTCTTCAGAGAGTCTTTGAGACATCTTTTGTGGGAAAGAGGTGTATAGTTAAGGAACGGTTCTCGAAAAAGTACAGGCATCCGATTTTGGACACAAAGCTCACTCTCAAACGATTAAATGCGGTTAGTTGAACCAGAAATTATCAATTCCTTATTTCATGAATTTTGACCAGTATAGTTGCATGACTTTAAGATGTGTTAATGCTGGAACAGGAGGCCCGATGTATGTCTAAAGCTAGGAAGCTAGGGGTTTTAACTCCAGTTCTTTATGTTGTTGATGCTATATCGCATTCGCTGACATTTGAATATGTGGAAGGCGCTTCGGTCAAGGACGTACTTCTCGATTTTGGATTACATGGTATAGTTGAAGAAAGAATGAATGACATTGCGATTCAGATTGGTCGTGCAATTAGCAAACTCCATGATGGTGGCCTTGTTCATGGTGATTTGACCACATCAAACATGTTAATCTGCAAGGATACCAATCGATTGGTAGGTGTTTGTAAAGGTCTAATCTGAGTCTTTGTTGATCTATTGGGTACTGTATACTACATGTGAAGCTCTGTTACAGTTTGTTTCCCTTTTTGTTTTTTCTATATTTCTTGGAATCATATGTATCTGAATATATAGGAATAGATAAGAAGTATTCATATAGCATGACCTAAGTAGTTTGGAATTGAGACGTAGTTCACATATTGATTATTCATGGATTGGTTGGTTCTTAACTTTTATCTTGCTAAACCAGTGGTAATCAGTAGCACTGTGTTTCAACAGGTATTGATTGATTTTGGTCTGAGCTTTACATCAACCCTTCCAGAAGATAAAGCAGTAGATTTATATGTACTTGAACGAGCGTTGCTTTCTATGCACTCTTCATGTGGAAATGTGGTAAGTACGGTCAGTTTTTCCCCTTTTTTTACCAAACCGAGGGTTTAAGTGTTCGTTTTGCTTTCCTCTTTCTTTCACATGGCTGATAAACATGACCCTCCCTACTCCCAAACCCGCCCCGCCCCACATGCACACGCAAAAGCAATATCGAAATAGATTTCCACCCATAAACAGCATCTTATGCTGGTGGATGTAATCTTGTAACGGTATGCATTTTGTAGATGGAAAAGATACTTGCTGCGTACAGGAAATCCTCCAAACAATGGTGTTCAACATTAAATAAGCTTGCCCAAGGTGTGTACTCTACAATTTGGTAGTTAAGTTCCCTTGGATCTTCTAGAGTTAGCAATAGTTTGATGTTTACATTTGTTGCTATACTGACTTCTTGTCTTTTTAAATTACAACTTTTAGTGCGACAAAGAGGTAGAAAGCGTACCATGGTTGGATGAGCTGTCTCAACAATCTACTCCATACATAGGTAGGATGAATTGTTGTGGATAGTATTAATGGAATATGTTTAGCATACACTGGTGTACTTGTTATATATTTCTCAATTAAAGCCTCTATTATTTATGCATTAGCTTTCTTTCATTTAATCTTCTTGGCAGAGAGGACCTGAGGTTGATATACAAGCTTTACAAAAGTGTTCTAAGACGTAAAGTTGTGAACAAGAGCTGCTTATGATATATATCCTGGCTTAGATTATCAATCGACATGATCTTTCTGATACTTTTTCCATGTCTTTTGCTTGATGTTTGAGCTAAAAAGCTCTATATAAACCAGTCTTATTGAAGTTTCATAGATTAACTAAAATACTTAAAGATTGGGTGCAGCATTAAAACTTCAAATACTTTTTCCAGTTGAAGTTACCTCCTAATTGTTGTTCAATAGCAGCTTATCTTTCAAAGATCTACAGTGACCTCTTCGCTGTAGTTCTATAGTTGTTTAATTGCAATTTGTTCGATGGACTGTTGCGTACTTTACCATCTTTATATTGATTCTACAGCTACTCCGAGCATTGCTGGGCGGCAAAACAAATATGCTGCTCGATATTGACAGGAATATGAAAGACAATTATGTTATGGTTGAGCGGTGTGATGCAGCTTTGGTGATGAAATATTTGGATGTATCCTGTTATTACTATTTATATGCATGAAGAGGGCTCTTTTTTTAAGTGTACCTTTCAATTATAACGGTGATTAAATTCAGTTTAAACTGGTGCAAATTTCACTATAATAGCAACTTGTTTTAGATAATGAGCTTAGCTATATTGACTTCTATTTTGTAATATTAACGTATTTTATAGTTTTGACGGATTAACTCTTCTGAGTTGCGCACTATCGTGTTTTAATTTATATATACATAATAACATATCAAGAAATTGTACTCACAAACAAGTTGCTATTTAGTTGATTTAGCTTACTTGGATTTTGGTCAAATTCAATTTATTCTGCCAACTTATACGCAGTTTACTAACATAAAACTTGCCTATGAACATGATAAAGGGTAGTTTGGTGCATTAAGCTTGCTATATGCAGGTATCTCGGTACACTAAGTTTGCGTTATATATGAGATCTGGGAAAGGGTTAGGTCATATTTGTTATGTAGGCGGTCTTACCTTATATTTTTGTGAGAGGCAGTCACGGATCAGCATCTATGTACAGTACCACATTTTAGTTGATATATAGAGAAATCTTAGGTCGTGTCTTAAAAAAAATATTTTAGTTGGTGTTTCCTATATTAGCTTGATCCAAAATATATTGGAATTCACTTGCTCCTATATGATGGAATAACAGAACTGATAAATATTACTAATAATTAGCTATTCTCAGAATTACATGCCATAATCATTCTCTTCAATTCACACGAAACTGCTGAAACATATTTGATTAGATCTTCTCCTTTTAAATAAAACACAATAATTTTGATTTTCAAACACAAATCAGGAACCTAAAATGACTATTTTCCGAAATTTTATTGCTCTTGAAACAATTCTTTTCTTTTTCTATGGGGCAGATATTTGACTCTTCAGGCAAGTTCCAAAACTGGCCTAGGTAATTTCCCCATATCTAGTAATTCCTAAACGAAGTTCTAGGTTTTGGGTGCTCTAATGGCGCTGGAATTAGATGGATCAATACCTTCAATCTTTCCCTGGAACGTTTCCAATTCACATGTAAAGTACATACTAGTACATACTATGTTGAACTAGTAATTATGATACTCCATTTGTTATGTGATAAAGAAAATTTTAACCATATTACTATGTTGAACTATTACATGAAGTGCCTTCATTGGGAATAATCTAGGTCACAGTTTGGAACCTTGCTCTGCTTGAGAAAACTGTTGCCTCAATACCCTTCTCATAACTTTATTTGTTGCTGTTCTTGGAAGTAAAGGGAGAGGAACAATACTGGAAACCTGCACATTTTGTGTTTAGGTTAGATAATTTTACCTAACAATATTTACATTCTTTCAAAGCTTATGCTGTACCTTGAACAGAGGATTCAACTTTCTCTGCAAAGCTGTGTTGAAAGAAATCATCAACTTGTCCAAGTTTCGTTCCAAGTTATCTGAATCCTTGAATACGACAGCAATTACCAACTTCTCAGGCCCACCTCCAGTAGGTGGTACTCCAACTGCTGCTGTTTCTAGTATATTTTCGTCTGCTGCATTGCATATGCGCTCAATCTCAAGTGAACTCACCTGACAAAACAGAATACCAGAACTTTTAGGAAAGGAAACATTGCAGTCCAGAAAAATGCTTGGCAACTCAAACGTCTATTCATATGCATAGTTTACTGGATCCTAACTCCTAACACTAAAAGTACTTTTTCGGATTCAATTTCGAGGCTAAATGCAGACCTTTATACCCCCTAAGTTCATTGTATCATCTGCACGACCATGTGCATGGTAATATCCTTTAGAAGTACGTTCAAACACATCCCCGTGCCTTCTTAGAACCTGTGATATAATAGTGTCACACAAGATTTTGATAGTAAAACTGTAATAGCTAGTCTATGGGATAATAATTTGCATTACCTTTCCATTCAAAACAGGCATTCCTTTGAAGTAGATCTCATTGTGGTCCGCATTCAGTAATGTGCTTGAAGCTCCAAACATGAGAGGACCAAGGGCCAATTCACCAGTCCCAGGAACATCTGATGGCTACACAAAGGTAAAAGTACTAGTGTTAAAGTGTCCCATAGTAGTAGAAGGAATGGACTATCGTCATCCTTATATGGTCTTGTGGAATATTCACCTCATGAGCTAGCTTATGGGGTTGAGTCACGCTCAAGATCCATTTTCTTAACATGGTAGCAAAATCTGACCTATTTCTATTCTTGGTTTACCCCAAATTTTAGGCCCTATGTATTGTCTACGCATGAGATGTCTAGTCTGAGCATAGGGGGAGGGGAGGATGTTAAGGTTCCCACATTGGTTGAGGGAGGGGGCTGTTATCTCCTTATATGGTCTTCGGCAATCCTCACATTATGAGCTAGCTTTTTGGGTTGAGTTAGGTCTAAGTTCCATTTTCTTAACATTCAGATTAAAATACCACAAAAACAAGCAACAAGGGGTTGTGAATATTTTAAGATGTGGCCAAAAAGAAAGCAGGAATCTGAATATTTTCTTTATGAGGATCCAAACAGAAGTAGCATGTTGCAGCTGCAGGCGAACTGATGACATTTGGTAAACACTCAACATTCACTAGCTTAAAAGGAACTTTCTATGCAAGCATAAAATGCACCGCATGATATTAATTCCAGTCCTGCTCTAGCAAATACTATTGAAGTTGCAGATATAAAGGTTGCGAGGTGCTTACTATAGGAAGACCATCGTCCCCAAGAATATGAAGACTACATCCCATGACTGCTGTGCTGAAAGCGGCTAAAGACTGGGGCTGCAACAATGACCCAGAAACAAAGGAGCCACCAATCTCTGTACCGCCGCAATACTCAATTATTGGTTTATATTCAGCTCTTCCCATCAGCCATAGATATTCATCCACGCTCGATGCCTCACCAGTGGAGCCAAAGAAACTACCATCATGTATGAACTACATTAAGCCCAAGAAAGGGAAAGGAAAAATAGACTTGAGCAGAATTCATTTAATGCACATATGTACAGGAAACAAACATATTTGTCTTCAAGTTATATCAGTATTCTGAAACTTGAAGTAATGAACCAACCATATGCAAGCTTGGCCACCAATTTCAGTCAATTAAGAGATAACGAAAGAGAAATAAAACAAGGAAGAAGATGCAAATAAAGCCTCCTGGCGAAGCAAAAACATATGAGAGGGTCACTTAGAAACTACCGGATGGTCGACCAATCAAAGCCATCAGGAGAATTCTTCGCTTTCCAAGTCCTCACTATACTTGGGATCACCCCGAGCATAGTTACTTTAGCGTCCTGGTTGGGTTGGAAGAGGATTTTTCATGAGCATGGATAACAAAAGATATTCAAAATTTAAACAACATAGATTTGAGATGAATCAACTAAATTATTTAAAAAGTATCTATCAGATATTGCAATGCCGATTAGTTTACTGATACTGGGGCGGTGAGAACCCGCAGGCTTAGCAATAATTTTATTAAATTTTAAGACTGTAAATGCAACTTAAGTGTTTCCTCTTTCCACTCATGATTTTTTCCCCTCATCAATTAAAGCTAGGAGCAGTGCAACTTAGCCTGTTTCTTTTTTTTGATAGTCCACTCAAAATCAATCGCAAGGCTAATGCACATAGGAAGAGCGAAATCTCAAAGAAATAGATACCTTTTTTTATCTTTCTTTACTTCAAGCAACAAAATATATCAGGTTAAACGAAAACAAAGTAACATGTTGTCAGCTAACACAAGAATTATCTTATTTGAATAGAATTGTGATACAAAGTGATTTTAATCGAGTCATTCAACAAGAAATAGGAGAAAAAAATGTGTAACAACGAAAGAAATTAACCTGAACAAACTTAGCAAAGCCAGAACCAAGGGGAGATCCATTATACAAGGCAATGGACGCCCCATTCAATAGTGAAGCATAAACAAGCCAAGGTCCCATCATCCACCCAAGATTAGTGGGCCAAGCAACCACGTCACCTTTTTTTATATCCATATGGCACCATCCGTCAGCAGCCGACTTGAAAGGTGAGAGGAGACTCCATGGAATTGCCTTTGGCTCTCCTGGACCATTTAGAGTTTTAGTCGAGACCACTTATTCAATTGCTTTCCATTACCAATTCAATGAATTCTTTAGAATCAAGTGATAAACATAAAGGGGATTTTGTTCCCATTTCAGTTTGACGGTTGACTTGACTACCCAGTTATTCATTATTGTTTAGAAAGAGGGTATCTATATGTGTGTAACAAAACAATTTATGTGCGTTCTTCAACCCTTAATTTATTATGAAAAAGAATCTTCTACTCACCTCCCTCCTAACCTTCGCAAAACAAAAAAGGGAAGTGTCACTACCAAAATTTAACAAAAAAAAAAAAGATTGACAATCTTTCCAGTGGAAACCCAAGAATTACACTAAACTGGTATCCAACATCATGTAAAACTTTTGTGTCCATTCCAGTGTACAATATTTCCTATTTACTGTGTTGTTCACGTGACAGGCCCGAACTTAATGATGCTACAGTGGTTACACGTGACCCTTAAGTGAAGCCACTGTGATTACACGTGAACTTCCTTGCTTTCCTTCTTCAAAAATAATATTATGATCTTAACAACTACTTCTCAATCTCACCACCTTCCTCATTACTGTACCACCTAAAACCACAGTAGGCAAGGGCAAGTAACTTTCCTAACACTAAGTTTAGTCACTATTGCCTCCCACAATCTTCCAGCTTGCTCTAGATTTATCCTTACCCAAGAATCTCAATCCTGTCCTCACATAGTAATATCCCCAGCTTTACGATTTTGGAGAGTGTCATTCAGCTCAAAACAAAATTAAAATGCATATTGGCATGAAATAATTGGACACAAGTTTAACTTTTACTATACCTGTGGTGCCAGATGAGAACAGAATGTTTGTAAATGCAGTAATAGGTTGTTCTACTGCAACAAACTCGAGACCCCTGCAATGCGGGAAATTAAACCATTATTCCCAGCATCGGAACATTTCCAACAATTAGCACTCAATGGGAAATGGAGGTCACATTTTGTANGGGGGGGGGGAGTTAGGCTCTGAGCCCTACCCGTTTGTTGGAAGCAAGTAAAACCAAAGTTAGAACAAGCAGGGAGACATTTTCCGATACCTCCATAATACAAGCTAAGGATGGATAAGCTCACCCAGCTATGTTTTGAGGTTATGTAAACAA